TTATACAGGGAGGGTGTAACTTAAACACTACTGGGTGATGGGATACTGATTAATTCCCTTGAATTTTTTAATTTTTCATAAAGCAATCTGGTAGACCATAAAGATGAGACTCACAGTGTGTTCTATATGATAAGGTTCTTTTTTTTAGATATCTATCTAATTTTTTACAATGTTTTCTCTAGTTTCTTAGGTAATATGCATCCAGAGGTGGATGAAATAACAGAAGCCTGTTCCTCACGGTAGTGATTGAAGACTTCTCCAGTGGAGGTAAGTATAATGTCCAATACCTCTCTCAAAGCATCCCAAAATAAATGCAGGTAAGATCAACAAAGATAAGTTTCAGTCCTTTGGGTTCAACAAACATGTTTTTTCTTTTTTAAGGTATAAGTCCAATAAAAAAATGGTGCCTTCCTCTTTAAGCACACTAAATGGTGTCAGGCTCATTGTCTTTACATTTCACCTTTCTAATGATGCTCCAGCCCAGCCTGATCTAGTTATACTAATTTTTTTTAAAAATGAAGAGTTTTACTTGTCACCATGAGGCTCAGCTACCTCTTCTTGGCTAGCCCTCTGCTTTCTGGGTCATGTTGTTTCCTGGATTGCACTCCTGGCAATGTTTCTTCAGCCAGTATCTCCCAGCTCAACACTCTTCTCTCTCCTCCCCAGCCAGCTGATGCTTGACTCCTCCTTGCCTTGCCATCCCAATCAGCTTTCTTTATGTTCCCCCACATCCTGGCCCCTCTCTTGTTTTCATCTGGGTATCTCCCCTCCTCCCTCTCCCTCCAGGGATGCTCTATCTTTATTGAGCAGCTGCTCCAGAAACATGGATTTCTCTTTTCCTTCACTGGTTCCTGCCAGTTTTCAGTTTGTGCCATCACCAGGTCTTTCTCATCATGACAGTATGTCAGCAACAAGAGAATGTATGGATCCCTTACCTAATGCGAGAGGCAACCTAGTGATAAAGGATGCAGTCAAGGCTGAACTACTCAATGCCTTTTTCACCTCAGGCTTCACAGGCAAGGTCAGCTCCCAGACTCTTGCACCTGACAGCACAGTTTGGAGAGGAGGTAAGCAGCCAACAGTGATGAAAGAACAGTTTAGGGGTCATTTAGAAAAGCCTGACACATAGAAGTCCATGAGGTCAGGTGGGATACAGCTGAGGGTGCTGAGGGAGTTGGGTGACATGATTGCAGAGCCACTGGCCATCATCTTTGAATACTCATCGTAATTGGGAGAGGGCCCAAATGATTGGAAAAGGGCAAACATAGTGGCCATCTTTAAGAAAGGGAAAAAGGAGGATCCAGGGAACTACAGACCAGTCAGCCTAACCTCCCTAGAAAAATCATGGAGCAGGTCCTCAAGGAATCTATGTCTAAGCACATGGAGGAGAAAGTGATTAGAAACAGTCAGAATGGGTTCATCAAGAGCAAGTCATGCCTGACCAGCCTGATTGCCTTCTATAATGAAATGACTGGCTCTGTGGATGTGGGAAGACCAGTGGATGTTTTATACCATTATTTTAGTAAGGGTGTTGATACAGTCTCCCACAACAAGCAAGCTGTTCATGCTTGAAAGGCAAACTGAGGAAGTATGGGCTGGATGAATGGACTGTAGTGTGGGTAGAAAACTGGGTGGAGGATTGGGCTCAGAGGGTAGCAATCAATGGCTTGATATCTAGTTTGCGGCTGGTGTCAAGTGGAGTGCCCCAGGGGTCAGTCCTGGAGCCAGTTTTGTTCAATAACTTCATCAACAACCTGGAAGATTGCCTAGAGTGCACTGTCAGCAAGTTTGCAGATAGCACTAAGCTGAGGGGAGTAGTAGATATGCTGGAGTGTAGGATGAGAATTTGAGGTGACCTATACAAATTGGAAGATTGGTCCAAAGAAATCTCATGAAGTTCATCAAGGACAAGTGCAAAGTCCTGCACTAACAAGAGAGCAATCCCATTCACCTGTACAGGCTGGGGCTGACTGGCTGGGCAGCAGGTCTGCAGAAAAGGACCTGGAGGATTACAGTGGACAATAATTTGAATATGAGCCAACAATGTGCCTTTGTTACCAAGAAGACTAATGGCATAGTGGGCTGAATTGGTAGGAGTGTTGTCAGCAGGTCAATGGAAGTGATTTCCCCTCTATTCAGCACTGATGAGGCCACATCTGGAGTACTGTGTTCAGTTTGGGGCCCCACACTACAGAAAGGATGTGGACAAATTGGAGAGAGTCAAGCGGAGGGCAACAAAAATGGTTTGTGGGCTGGGGCACGTGACTTTTGAGGAGAGGCGGAGGGAACTGGGCTTATTTAGTCTAGAGAAGAGAAGCCTGAGAGGGAGATTTAATAGCAGCCTTCAACTACTTGAAGGGGGGTTCAAAAGAAGATGGACCTAGACTGTTCTCAGTGGTGGCAGATGCCAGAAGGAGCAATTGTCTGAAGTTGCAGCAAAGGAGGTTTAAGTTGGACATTAGGAAAAACTCTCTCACTAGGAGGGTGGTAAAGCACTCGAATGAGTCACCTAGAGAGGTGGCGGAATCTCCATCCTTGAAGGTTATTAAGGCCTGTCTTGACAAAGCCTGGGTTGGAATGATCTACTTGAGGATGGTCCTGCTTTGAGCAGGGGATTGGACTAGTTGACCTCCTGAGGTCTCTTTGAACCCTAATTTACTATGCTTCTATGCTTCTTTGATCTATCTTACTGATATCACCTCCTCCTCAGAAGAAAGTTTAGTGGCAATTTTTAATAGTGCCCACAGTATTAACTTTTTATACTCTTTTGTTTAATATACTTCAGAAGCAACCAATACCATAGTGTTATAATTAAATATATCTTGCTTCTTCTGTTTCAGAAATCAGCAGGAAATATGTTTATTATAACTGATAGGAAAAGTATGTATTTTTGGAACAGAATGCTACATCTGTACTATTTAATAATTTTGGAAAAATCTCATTTTCTTTATATTTCCTCTTTAAAAACTTAATAGAAAATTGATTGTGCATTTTATAATCTAAATCCTATTACACTTTATGCACCTAAATGGCATTTACCCGGCTCCGTTATTGACAGTTTTATCACTTACACAGTTTGATTCTGTTACATGTCCAGTGTGGATGTATAAGCTTCCACAAGGCTACCACACATATTGAGCAGAATATGCAAGGATGGGTACTACATAAATATGTACATAAAGCAGTACATGCTTTGGACATGCATATACATAGCAGGTATTAGACAGAGGAAGAGAAGGACCTTCCTAAATTTAGGTCCAAAAGCTAACCGAATAGGACAATCACCAAGAAAACAAGAAACTTGAATTATAGTCCCCTGTCCAATGCAGAGGGAATCTGAATGTATATCTCTCTGGCTTCTTATCTCAGTGCTTTAACCACTAGACAATCAGCCAGGCATTATCTAGTCACTTCTCCAACCCTTCTTTTGAAACTGGCTCCCTGGGCTAAACAAGGAGATATTTGGGGCCAAGAGAAAAAGCACGTGCTACAGAGTAAGTCACTCTGTTCTTCACTTGTCTCCATCTATTGTATCCAATGACTATTAACTGTAAGGTTAAGTTGCTCAGCTTCAAAAAGAGACTAAGGAGCTGTGCTAATGTAAATTTAAACTCCCTCTGAATGAGGGGGACCCAGGTCTTGTCCTTCCTAGTGTCCATACCACTCAATTATTAGGGCTAAAGCATAGGAAAGCTATTTGCCTTCAGATTTATGTTCATGTTTGTAGTTTCCCAGCAGGTGCATAACCTACTGAAGATATGCAGTAGCCATGTGGATATGCAGATACCCACACTGCATGGGTAACAGAATTTCAAATTCGAAGTACCAAAAAGTGTCTCTTACTTGACTGGGTAAGTACCTTGTAGAAGTATGAAGAGTAACAGAATTCTGCCTTATGTGTTTTAAATCACAGTATCCTTTATCTGGTCATTTCCCCCCCCAGTAAACAGTTAATATGGATATTAAATCCACACAGCAGAATAAAGCAGTTGTTAAAGTACTCCATGGTTGTTTGAAACTATTTTAAAAATAGAGGAAAGTATCTTCTCTGAGCCCTATTAATAGAAAGAACACATTGACTTCAGTGGATTTTGGATCAGAAGACAATTGCTTCCCCATATTTCAGAAGCCTAGAGCACCCATATTTTTAATTCTAAATTCATTATTTTTCATATCTTAAAAATCTCATTTGTGATTTAGGAATTAATTTTTTTTAAGTAAAGAAAATCAGGAAAAAGTAGATGTGTGTGCTTTTGAATATGTGTGTAATGTTTGACAATTTGCAGTAAGTATAAACCTACATAACTATATATGTTGCTTTTCATCTCAAATGATAAAAGTATTCTGGGGAAAAGAATATCTACATATATTAGTACTCTATATAACCAAACAGAAGGCGATGCTGCTAACAACAGTGAAATGTTATGTGAAGTCTGGACCAGATTGACACGTTTGCAAGGGCCTTGTTACACAGTAACTTTAGGTGGTTACTGGAACTCTTAACCATTGGACTGGCTGCATATTAACACCTTTTTACTGGTTTAATGCACTCTTTATTTATCTTAATGTTATCCCACTCCAGACCAGGATTATCTCGAATCTGCCTAATTTTGCTCCTGTTTTATTAACTTGTGGCAACTCTCTGTAGCTTTTCTGTCCAAGTTGAAGTCCTGAAACATCCCAGGAGACAGTGGGCACCACTGCTTCCTCCAACCAGTTCCACTCCTGCTGGGAGCAGAGCCAGCCTGCTCTGAGCAGGGGAAGGAACTACATCACTTGGACACAGCTTCAGCTCCAGCTCCGCTCCTCTGCCAGATGTAGAGTCAGCGGTGTCTGAGCAAGGGAGGCTATCATGTCACTCAGACCCAGCTGGCTGAATGGAGCTGGGTCCGAGTGATGAAGTTCTCCACCCTCTCCCCTCCCTCCATGCTCAGACCCAACTGGCTCTGCTTCTGGAGGGGAGAAGAGCCTGGTCCAAGTTACATGATTTTCTCCCCAACTTGGACCTACCTGGCTCTGCTCCCTCTTGTGGGGAGCAGAGCCAGTTTTTGAGGAGCCTGATGGATCTAAGATGGACTTGTGGGGACCAGAGCTAGCTACCTCTAAGTAAGAGAGGGAACTGTGGAACTCTTAACCACTGGGAACAGAGCCAGGAGCAGACGTGGTGAGAGTGACGGCAGGAGGCACCATGACTTACAGTTGGGGCTGCAGCATGCATTTTGCCCTGAGGGAGCAGGGAGCCCGTCCTTCCCCCCTCTTCCCCTGCTCACCAAGCCTCTAGTAGCTAGTCACAGCTGTGCAGCTGAGGGGCAATAAGAGTAGGCTCTCTGCCTTAATGTGTGACTGCTCCACTAAACTAAATAGCACTAAGCTGATTAATATTTGTTTGGCTTACAACATAAAGTCTGACAAGGCCCTAAGTATAGTGAGTGAAAACACAACTAGAAAAATTTAGCCTTAACCAACTTGTCTCTCTATTTTTGAACTTGTTAAGTTAGTCCCAGCCATGAAAATCCTATGATTCAATTATTAGTTCCTTGATTTTGTTCACCCTACTGGAAGGTCTTTTCTGGTGTTATTTAGTTCCCTCTTAAGCCTCCTCTATTTTCTATTGGTACTTGATTTAACAATTATAGCTCAACAGCTGTTCTCTGAAGCCTATTCAAGGGGTTTAACCTTGCTTCTTGGGGGAAGTGTTGAAATAAAAGTAATGATTTTGTGTTAAAATTATTTCTGATAAGAACATTTAATTTCTGCCTTCTAGTGCCCTTCAGAAATGGTATGCTAATGTAATATATGTACCTTTCCTACTCTCTAATATTGATTTGAATATTCTGAGGTATCCCTCTGTTTATTTTCTGTTAGTCTGCACATTTTTCTCTATTTTTACTGTATTCTTTTAAATACTTACTTCATTGTTTCATTTCCTTTAGATATAAGGAAAACATCTTACGGGACGTTGTGGGTCAAAAAAGTAACAGCAATGTGTTATGCAGAGAATCACTCTAGCTTAAAGGTGTAAGTCAATCATTACCAAAAGAGGTCAAAAGTATTTTCTTTATAAAATTGCATAATTGGTTAAGGGAATTATTTTGGTGGGGAAGAGGTGGGGTACATGTTGTCACCTTCTTCTGGTACTGAATTTATTTCAAAACAAACAAAAAAATTAAACTCAGTCCTTAGAGAAACAAATTATAAAAGTTGTACTAGAAAGGGCCATTTAGGAGCCCACAGAATGGGGTGGGTGGTTGCATGTATGTATAAGAAGCATATCTATTATATAGACATTCATCTATTACATGAATGACGCACCAAGTACTGACAGGCAATAGGTATGAAAGAAATCTACCATCACTCATTTCTAATCAGGGGCTGCAAAAGAGAAGAAATCCTTTGATCTGAATAGGTATCCATGAAATATACTATGATGATAGTTTGAAATACGTACCAGATCTAATTTTTCCCCTGTCCAATGAAGAGAAAAATAAATTTAAAATGAGAAGGGACATTATGCTATCATTTGTTTCAGAAAGTTGTGTATGTGCTTGAGCAATACCTCTTGACTGATCAAATGCAGACGTTGATAAGTTCCAAAGGACACTTAGCCTGATCATCTCTCATACTCTAAGTCCAGAGTTTGTCCTTTTAATGTGTAAATTTAGGTACTAAAAACATTTCAGGAATTTTTTTAATTTCTTATTTCGTCTTTGGTGGACTAAACAGGTGGAGAGTTTTTACTAATTCCAACTCATTTTTTACTACTTCTTTGAAGACACTGATTTTTATTTTATTTTTAAAATAGCTTCCTCAGCCATAATACAACAAATTGATAGAGGATAACTTCTTAATATGCAATTACTTCCTGGAGGCAAGTAACAACAGTATAGATCAGGGGTTTTCAACCTTTTTTGGATTGGTGTACCCCTGCTAGCTGGATGCGAAGCAATGTACCTCAGACAGCCAGGCGCAGATAGGGAGTGTGGGAGGGGTGGTGCATGGCTGAACATAGAGCAGTGGTCTGCATGTGAGTTTCCCGTATCCCCAGCATCCAGCTAGGCAGGCAGCACCTGCACGGCAGTGCAGGATGATGCATGGCGGCGCTCCATCCCTGTCTACCTGTGCATACCTCCTAGGGCCTTCTCAAGTATCCCCGGTATAGATGTTTTTCAACAATGACCAGACTTTGGCTCAACTCCTTCATAGGAATGAGAATAAATCCAAACTGCCAAGATGCTGGCTACTGACAGTATGTATATAACAGCTTAGATCCATTTCCATTTAGAGGTGTGCAAAACAGGCCATATTCAGTTCAGATTTGTCCCAAATTGGGGATAGTGATTTGACTAATTGATTCAGATCACTGTCCTGATTCAATTTAGCCAAATCTGAATGTGAAGATTCAACATTGATTCGGAGAATCAACAATTCGGCCTGTGATGGTGGGAGATACCTGCAGGGGTCAGAAGCACCAGGGACAGTCCCTGACATTTCCAAAGAAGGAAATAGGGATGCCCACACTGCAGAGAACTTACCTCCGAGGCTGGCTGGGGCAGAGAAGGAGTTGCACAAGCCGGCATTTCACTGACTCTTGAAGCAACTGTCAGTCAAGATGGGCAGTGGTCAGCTGATGCATCATGGCAGGAGATTTAAAAACCCCACTGGAAGGAAGGTGGGGGGGCGGGGGAAGCCAGCTGGGAGCACTTTGCGCACACCAAGACCTGGTGCGCTGGCAGGAGTGGTCTCAGTGACACTGCCCCACAGCAGAGGAGTGGGGGCAGTAGCTGGCACCCAGCTGGGAACAGGTAGTTTCCGGCCCCGGAGCATTAGGTCTCCAAGGTGGTGATTCTCCCTAAGAGAATTGCCCAACTCTATTGACTCTGATTCTGAAGCCAGGATCTTGAGCCTCAGGGTTGACTTAGGATCAAGGCGGCCAGCTGGACTCTCAGTGCCCAAACTGGACCCACAGTTGTGAGGCAGACACCCTTTTGGGACTGATACAGGTGCCTTAGCCCCAAGTTGGGGTGAGAGCACAAAGACCTGACCAGCTGGCGAGTGAACAGGGTGTCGGGGAGGTGGAGCCCTGAGGACCACTGCGGTGACCCCGTGACCCATCTTTGCGTCAAGGGGGGAGGAACACCACTGAGCCCCCTCCTTCTTTACATGTTCTATCAAGTTATGGCAGCTGAGTTGGGGGACCCGGACTATGGTACAGGACTATACTCACAGTGCCAACTGGGGGCACTACACAGCCATAGACACAGCTTTAAATGATTTTTCTACATACCTCAAGGTACCAGGCATGGTTCATGAATGCTGCAATGGTGGGGTGGGTGGCTGTGATGGTAAGAGAGATGGCTGCAATGGTGGGGCCCCCCCATGTACTCAGTGGCAGACCTGGAAGTGGACCAGAATTACTTCCAGTCCACTTCTGGGTTCACCATGGAGCACAAGTGGGACCCCCTGTGCCCTCTCAGCTCAGCCATCGGCCATGGGGGGACCCCACGTGCCCCTCAGACACAGAAGGCACCAGGCACTGAGCTGAGGGGTGGGGGGTCCCCTGCACACTATGTGGTGGACCCAGAAGTGGACCAGAAATGCTTCTGGTCCACTTCCAGGTCCACTGCCAAGAGTGCTGGGGATGCCCCGTGCTCCTGCTGGACGCTCCATCTGCCCCAGCATCTCAGCATTCACGAGCCGACTGGTACTTTGAGGTATGTAGAAAAAAACATTTAAAGTTGTGTCTATGTCCAAATCATCAAATCTCTCTGAATCTCTATGAAACGATTTGGAGGGTTCCAATTTGATTCCAAGAGATTAAAGGGTTTCCTGATTTGATTTGGATTCAGAGATTTGGCCACTGAATTGAGCCAAATCTCTGCCAAATCAAATCAACAACTGAAGCTTTGCACAGCCCTATTGCCATTGGGAACAATTGGAGATAGTGGCCATTGGAAAAGACGACATCTAAGTTGAGAAGCCTCTGGCTTCAATCCTGTAGACTACATAGATGATAGCTATTTGGAAATTAGAATTCTTTGTGGAATGTTGGGGGAAAAAATCAGGCAGTAGGAAAAAAAAGTTTCTAGTGTGCTCTGGCTGAAGAACAGCTCTAAAATGTACACATTCATTTTTATAATGGCTCATATTTAAGACCCATTTGTATCAAATTAAATTTACAATAAAGAATAAGGGTTATGCTGTTTATGTTGTATTACCCAAAATGTTTGCCGTGATGATTTATGTTGAAAAAATGATCTAGTGAGAACTTTTAAATCATTAAAACATTCAAATTAAAATGTATGTTAAGAAAGTTTGGTTTGAATTGTTCAAATAATCTTTAGATTAAGTCTTTAAACTAAAAGTTGTAAATTATAAGTTATCTGATGACAAACATCTCCTTGTCTCCTATTTCCAAAGTAAAGGACTCTACAAGTTTTTCTAGCAGTCATTTTTGTAAGAAATATAAAATATGCAGTCAAAAATTAACAGTTCAAACACAGCTCTTTAAAAAGAGACAATGCACATGAAATCTAAAATGTTATCATCATGAATATATTCAAGAAGAAAACTTTTTGGCCCATGAAAGTTGAAAATTTTCATCTAATCCATTAATTATACAAAATTACTCTGTATTTTGGGTGTCTTTCTTCTCTGTTTTGGTGTTTGTTTGTTTTATTTAAGGGTTTGTTTCTTTTGTTTTTAATGTTTGCATATGGTATTTCTCTGTGATTTTGCATATTCAAGTTTGTTATCATCTTTTGTGCTAACAAATGGCCATTTGTGCTTATAAATGGAGAATTGGGATTGTTAATATGTCCCCATCACTGTACAAAATTAAGCAATTAACGTTTGGGCTTTTGAATACAGAGTTGTCAGTCTGCTTTGTCACATGGCAGACAATCCACATGAAGAGCTTCTGAACTTTTATTTAAAAAATTCAGGGAAAAATCAACTAAAGTATGTCAAATATGAAGTCTTAAGTAAGCAATTCATGAATAATCCTTCT